ATTTAAGTCTTTAATCCATTTTGATTTGATTTTTGTATATGGTGAAAGATGGGGGGGTCATTCTTCTGCATATGGATGTCCAGTTTTTCCAGTACCACTTACTGAGGAGACTCTTGTTTCCCTAATATGTTCTTAGCGTCTTTTTCTAGTTGGTTAAAAATACATGGATTTGGGCCGGGCGCGGTGGCTCAAGCCTGTAATCCCAGCACTGTGGGAGGCCGAGGCGGGTGGATCACGAGGTCAAGAGATCGAGACCATCCTGGTCAACATGGTGAAACCCCGTCTCTACTAAAAATACAAAAAATTAGCTGGGCATGGTGGCGCGTGCCTGTAATCCCAGCGACTCAGGAGGCTGCGGCAGGAGAATTGCCTGAACCCGGGAGGTGGAGGTTGCAGTGAGCTGAGATCGCGCCATTGCACTCCAGCCTGGGTAACAAGAGCGAAGCTCCGTCTCAAAAAAAAAAAAACAAAACAAAACATGGATTTATTCCTTGGTTCTCTGTTCTCTTCCATTAATCTATTTGTTTTTATTTTTATTTCTATGTATTTTTTTTTGAGACAGAGTTTCGCTCTTGTCGCTTAGGCTGGATTGCAATGGCGCAATCTTGGCTTGCTGCAACCTCCACTTAATGGGTTCAAGTGATTCTCCTGCTCAGCCGAGTAGCTGGGATTACAGGCACCTGCTACCATGCCTGGCTCGTTTTTGTATTCTTAGTAGAGACTGGGTTTCGCCATGTTGGCCAGACTGGTCTCGAACTTGTGACCTCTGGTGATCCACCTGCCTCAGCCTCCCAAAGTGCTGGGATTACAGGAGCAAGCCACCATGTCCGGCCTCTGTTTGTTTTTATACCAATATTATGCTGTTTTGGTTACTATAGCTTTAGAGTGTTATATATTTTGAAGTCAAATAGTGTGACGCCTCCAGCTTTGTTCTTTTTGCCCAGTGTTGCTTTGGCTATTCAGGCCCTTTTGTGGTTCCATATAAATTTTAGGATTGTTTTTCTGTTTCTGTGAAGAATGTCATGGGTATTTTGACAGCATTGTATTGAACCTGTAGATTCCTTTGGGTAGCACAGTTATTCTAACAATATTAACTCTTTTGATCCACGAGCATGGAATATCTTTCTATTTGTGTGTGTCCTTTTCAGTTTCTTTCATCAGTTTTTTATAGTTTTCATTGTAGAAGTCTTTCACCTTTTTGGATAAATATATTCCTAAGTATGTTTTTTGTAGCTATTATAAATGGGATAACCTTCCTGATTTATTTTTCAACTAGTTTGTTATTGGTATGTAGAAACACTACTGATTTTTGTATTTTGACTTCGTATCCTGCAACTTTTCTGAATTCATTTATTAGTCCTAGGAATTTTTTGATGGAATCTTTAGGTTTCTGTATATATAAGATCATGTCATCTGCAAAGAGGGACAATTTTGCTTCCTCTCTTCCAATTTGGATGACTTTTATTTCTTTATCTTGCCTGATTACTCTGGCTAGAACTTACAGTACTGTGTTGAATAAAAGTGGTGAAAGTGGACATCCTTGTCTTGTTCCAGTTCTTAGAGGAAAAATGTTCAGCTTTTCTCCTTTAAGTGTGATGTTAGTTGTGGGTTTGTCGTATGTGGCCTTTATTAAGTTGAGGCCTGATTTGCCGAGAATTTTTATTATGAAGCGATGTTCAATTATATCGAATGCTTTTTCTGTATCTGTTAAGATGATAATATGGTTTTTATCCCTCATTCTGTTGGTGTGATATATTACATTAATTGATTTGCTCATGTCAAACCATCCTTGCATCCCTGGGATAGATCCCACTTGATTGTGGTGTATTATCTTTTTGATGTGTTGTTGGATTCAGTTTGCTTGTATTTTGCTGTGGATTTTTTGCATCCTGTGTTCATCAGGGATGTTGGCCTACAGTTGTGGTGGTAGTAGTTGTGCTTGTGTCTTTATCTGGTTTTTGTGTCAGAGTAATACTGGCCTTATAGAATGAGTTGGGAAGAACTTCCTCTCATTCAGTTTTTGGGAGTAGATTGAGAAAAGTTGGTGTTAGTTCTTTGTAAATTTGGTAGAATTTAGCAGTAAAGCTATGTAGTCTTGCACTTTTCTTTTTTGGGAGTTTTTTTATTTTTATTACTGATTCAGTCTCATTACTTGTTAGTGGTCTGTTCAGGTTTTCTATTTCTTCCTGGTTCAATCTTGGTAGGTTGTATTGTCCAGGAATTTATCCATTTCCTCTAGGTTTTCCAGTTTATTAGCATATAGCTGTTCATAATAATCTCTTATGATCTTTTGCATTTCTGTGGTATCAGTTGTAATGTCTCTTTTCTCATTTCTACGTTTATTTATTTGGGTCTTCTCTCTTTTTTTCTTGGTTTGTCTAGCTAGCAGTTTACTAATTTTATTTATCTTTTCAAAAAATCATCTTTTGTTTCATTGATCCTTTGTGTTTTTTTAAGTCTCTATTTTGTTTAATTCTGCTCTGATCTTTATTATTTCTTTCCTTCTAGTGATTTTGGGTTTGGCTTGTTCCAGCATTTCTAGTTCCCTGAGGTGTGTTGTTACAAGCTTGTTCATTTGGAATCTTTCCTTTTTTTTCGGTGTAGGTATTTATTGCTATACTTCCCTCTTGGCTCTGCTTTTGCTGTATCCCATAGATTTTGGTATGTTGTGTTTCTGTTTTCATTTGTTTCAAGAAATTTTTAAATTTTCTTCTTAATTTCTTCATTGGTCCAATGGTTGTTCAGGTGCATATTGTTTAATTTCTGTGTATTTGTACAGTTTCCATAATTCCTCATGTTATTGATTTCTAGTTTTATTTCATTGTCATCTGAAGGATACTTGATATGATTTCAGCTTTTAAAAATTTCTTGACATTTTTTTTGTGGCCTAACCTAAGGTCTATCCTGGAGAATGTTGCATGTGCTGATGAGATGAATGTGTGTTCTGTGGCTGTTGGATGGTATGTTCGGTAAATGTCTGTTAGTTTCATTTGGTTTAAAGTGCAGTTTAAATCCCAGTTTTCTTCATTGGTTTTCTGTCTAGATGATCTATCCAGTACTGAGAATTGGATGTTGAAGTCACCAACTATTATTGCATTGGAGTCTAATTAGGTCTAATAATATTTGCTTTTTATTATCTGGAGGCTCCAGTATTGGGTACATATATATTTAGAATTGTTATATTGATCCCCTTATCACTATAGAATGACCTTCTTTATGATTTTTTTTTTTTTTTTTTTTTTTTTTTTTTTTTTTTTTTTTTTTTTTTTTTTTTTTTTTTTTTTGAGATGGTGTCTTGCTCTGTTTCCAGGCTAGAGTGCAGTGGTGTGATCTCGGCTCACTGCAACCTCTGCCTCCTGGGTTCGAGTGATTCTCCTGCCTCAGCCTCCCTTTACAAATTTTGACTTAAGATCTGTTATCTCAGGCAAGTGTAGTTTCTCCAGCTTTCTTTTGGTTTTTACTTGCAGGAATTTTTTTTCCAACCCTTCACTTTCAGTCTATGTGTGTCTTTGTAAGTGAAGTAAGTTTCTTATAGACAGCATAGAGTGATGTTTTTTTAATTCATTCAGCCAGTTTAGTGAGGAGTTTAATCCATTTACATTCAAGGTTATTATTGATAGCCAAGGTCTTGTTTCTGCCATTTAGTAATTTGAAGTCAAATGATGTCTCCAGCTTTGTTCTTTTTGGCAGGCAGGATAGGCCTATTCCCAGGCGCCCAGACCATGCATGAGTGGCAGACAGGGCAAAACGGTCCTTTGGACCCCAGAAAATGTGCACCAGTGGTGGTGGGCAGGGTGGATCGATCCTAGGCCCCTGGGTCATGTGCGTTCTGGCAGTGGTGGCAGTGGGTGGGGTCAGCGTATCCTCAGGCCCCTAGATGGCATACATGGGTGCTAGTGGTGATGGGAAGTGGGGGCAGGTCAATCCCCAAGCTCCTTAGACAGTGTGCTCAGTCACTGGCAGCGGTGGCAGATGTTGGGGCGGGCCTCTTAAATAGATTTTTAATCCATCCACCAACTTAGCTTATGTCATCTAAGCAAGTCTCACTCTTATATCTTTATTTTATTACTTTTATTTAAAAGCAGCAGAGAAAAGGAAAATTAAAAGTGCCATGGAATCCCCTCTCAGTCATGTACATATAACCCATTAATGCTAGATAATATGTATTGATAATTATTTCAAAAAATGTGACAAAAGCATATACTTACTGTTTGGTAACATGTTTTTGAAAATTAAAATGTATTGAACTTTCTTATATCATTGGGTATTTCTTATAACTTTTTTTTGTTATTTGCATAGTATTTTCATTCTACCATTTACTTAATTCCTTATTGCTAGCAATTTTGGTTGTTTTCAGCTATTCCTACTCAAAAATAACATTATATTGCTCTCTGATTTTTTCCTTGAGATCAATTCCTGAGATTGCTAGATCAAAAAAGTTTGAATATTTTTAAGGCTTTCAATAAACATCACCAAATAACCCTCCAGAAGCATAGTGCCAATTTATAACTCACCAGGAGGGTATGAAGGAACCCAGATTTTCATAGTAAATTACAAAGGTTACTGTATTTTTATTCAGAAGGCAGTCTGAATATTGATTGGTGTAGGTGACCTTACCCTCAACCATTGGTGTTTAAACACAAATGTTGACCGGGTGTGGTGGCTCACGCCTGTAATCCCAGCACTTTGGGAGGCCCAGGTGGGCGGATCACTTGAGGTCAGGAGTTTGAGACCAGCCTAGTCAACATGGTGAAACCCCATCTCTACTAAAAATACAAAAATTAGCTGTGCGTGGTGGTTCGTGCATGTAATCCCAGCTACTTGGGAGGCTGAGGTGTGAGAATCTCTTGAACCCAGAAGGCGGAGGTTCCAGTGAGCGGAGATTGTGCCACCGCACTCCAACCTGGGTGACAGTAGAGACTTCATCTCAAACAATAGAAAATAAAAAATAAAATAAAATAAATGCAAATGTTGAGCGACTGTGTTCTTTTGACTTGTAGACTTCCCCTCCCCAATTTCCTCGCTGCCGAGAAGGAGGCTGGGCAGACGATTCCGTGAAGGCTTCAAAGTGAGTACCAGTAGCTTACAGAAGTGGGGTTGGTGCTGGACACAGTGGGGTGGGGACTTTGCTCCTGTGTTGTTTTATTTTTTACGATAGCTTTATTGAGAAAAAATTTATATATCATATAGTTCACCCATTTAAAACGTATAATTTAATCATTCTTAATATATTCACAGAGTTGTACAGCCATTACCACAATCAATTTTACAGCATTTTTATCACCTCCCCACCAAAAGAAACCCTGCATCTATCAGCAGCCACTTCCCATGTCCCCCCAACCTCCCTAGATCTAGGTGGCTACCAGTCAACTTTCTCTCTCTCTGATTTTCATATTCTGGACATTTTATATAAGTAGAATCTACATTATGTGGTCCTTTATGGCTGACTTCTCTCACTTGTCATAATGTTTTCAGAGTTTATCCATGTTGCGACATTCTGTATTCTTCTTAATTTTCTAAACATAATGGAATTGCCTGCTGGTAGCTGCTGATGAACTCTGTGGTATGTCTTCCCCTGACATAGATCAGCTACTGTTCATAAAGGAGACTAATACAGATGTCCCATCACCCTGCCTAGTTGGTATCTTGTGTTTACTGTAAGTTGGCATGAATGTTGGTGCCATAACCATCCAACATTATCTAATCAGCCTATCCAGAGGTCCTGGGAAGGCTGGGAAACCTAATGTCACAGTGCATGCAGCAGCACTGTATAAACTGCATAGGGCCCACAGTGTGGGGCTGTGGATGCAGACGCCATTCTCTCTGAGCTGGATGACATTGGGCAAGGTGTAGACCATGGCTGAACCCTGGGCGGACACATTGATGTTCCCTACAGCGTGATTCAAAGACTGAAGGAAATTACATATGTAACAGGACTATTGCTGTTGTGTTTAGCCCTTGAAGCCTTTCCACAGCTTAGACCAGAAGCTGATCCCTGTGGTTCCATATCAAGAGGCAGCAGAGAGCGGTGAGAGCCACCGGTTCTGGAGGCAACTGCCTGGTTTTGAATCCTAGCTATGCCATTTATTATCTCAGAGACTGCAAGCGAGTAATTTAACATCTCTGGTCTCCACTTCTGCATCTCTACAATGGGGTTAAAAATAGTTCTTACTTGAAAGGATCATTGTGAGGTTTAAATGAATTCATATGTATAACACGTTAGAAGAGAGAGAAGCATTTAGGAAGCACTCGATGGACATTGGCTGTTGTTATGATGATGATGATGATTGTTTTTTATCCTCATAGATGGGCTTTGACCATATTCTTCTCACATGCATTCTGGCAGGTGGCGATATTTATGAGCTGCAGGAGCTTTGGGATCTTTATGGTGGCATAAATGCTTCATATGAAGGATCTGTTTGGGAGAAGTAATTCCACATTAAGAAAAGCGATGTTTATTTTGAATGTCAGGAATCTTTGTTAGTTGTGAACTACATTAAAGCCTTAGCATAGGAACGTCAGATTTCCAGAGCTGTAGGTAGTATCCAGAAGTATTTTCTGAACCTTATGATGTTAAGAAATAGCCAGGGGTATTCAAGGGAAGAGAATACAGTCATGGGTTCTTAGTTCTGTTTCTGATTGGGCCAGTAAAATCCCTTCTTTATCCCTCTTTTCCACCTATCACTAGAGACAGAAACTAAAAACCATTGTTTCAGGCTGCTAAAAGCCTAAAATAAAACAAAACAGAACAACAACAAAATGAGGCAGGTTGGACAAGCTTGAATTAGACATAACCAATGAACGATAGCCCCTCGGATTTCTGCCAGCATCTGGGAATGCACATGAGTTGGAGTAGAAATCTCTGCGAGATCTTCAGTTATCCCGGATAAGCATGCATATCTCTGGGATGGTTTCAGAATTACAGAATTACCTTGTCTTATATAAGGAGGAAGTGTTCCTCAAACTTCTTCCTACCACATGCCCTCTCTGCATTTCTTCCACACTCAAACCGGCAGGATTTTCAGGCTAAGGTGTGGTAATTAAGTCATCTCTTGTTTTACTCATAGAAGCAACATCACAGTAAGGTTAAAACCATGGGCATCTGATTCAGACATACCAGGGTTTGAATTCAGGTTTCAGCATTTAACTGGCTGTATAAACTTGGGGATGTTACTTAACTCTGTAAAGTAGCAATACTAACACCCATTGTAAAGAGTTGTTCTGAGCCTCAAATACACAGGAACAGTACTCAGCATAAAGCTAATACATAGCCAGTTGCTGCAATTAAGTTATGACTAGCAGTAGTGCATAAGGGGTAAGGTAATAAGGCAGGTGTCTCTAAGTTTTATGGTTCTAAAACATCAAAGTGTTAGGTAACGTGTATTTTGTGAATGGCCTCTATAATAAGATGGTGCTGGCTGTCACCTCTAGCCACATTTGTTAGCCTCTGTAGCTGTCAGCACCTTCCAGATGCTTTAAACAGGTTTTTTTTTTTTTTTTTTGGGATGGAGTTTCGCTCTTGTTACCCAGGCTGGAGTGCAATGGCGCGATCTCGGCTCACCGCAACCTCCGCCTCCTGGGTTCAGGCAATTCTCCTGCCTCAACCTCCTGACTGGCTGGGATTACAGGCACGCGCCACCATGCCCAGCTAATTTTTTGTATTTTTAGTAGAGACGGGGTTTCACCGTGTTGACCAGGATGGTCTCGATCTCTTGACCTCATGATCCACCCGCCTCGGCCTCCCAAAGTGCTGGGATTACCAGCTTGAGCCACTGCGCCCGGCCTAAACAGGTTTTGATGACAGTTAGTCTTTGTGATTCTTGAAGTTTCATTCATTGCTTAAATATAGTTAATCTAGGCCAGTCTGACGGAGAATATGATAGTAAGGCCGAGACTTTTGCTAGCCTTTGCCTTTGGTCCCATTTTATAGATGAAATAAGTGGAGTCATACATGCCTGTAAGGAGAGTGCTTAATGTTTTTTAGTTTAGTTCAGAGTCCAGCTCTAAAGACTGGATTACATTTCATTCCTTAATCCCTTGCACTAAGTCTTAGATGAAAGATTTTAACAAATTATACCAGTGAGATGGCCAGCTATCAAATTTAACTGCTTAAGATATACATGAGAATAGTTTCTCAAAGAATGGTCATTATTCTAGTTTAGACTTTCCTTGAGCAGTTGTTGCCTTCAAAATAGCACTATCTTGAAAGATCTCTACAAGGAGAACTACAAAACACTGTTCAAAGAAGTCAGAGATGATACAAACAAATGGAGAAACAGTCCATGCTCATGGATACGAAGACTCAATATTGTTAAAATGACCATACTGGCAAAAGCAACTTATAGAGGCAATGCTATTTCTATTAAGCTACCATTGGCATTCTTCACAGAACTAGAAAAAACTATTTAAAAATTTATATGAAACAAAAAAGGGCCCGAATAGCCAAGGCAATCCTAAGTAAAAGAAAATGTGCACACACGCACACACACACACACACACACACACACACACACACACACACACACACAACATACACCAGAAAAACCTGGAGGCATTACACTATACTACAGGGCTACGGAAACCAAAACAGCAAAACAGCATGCTACTGGTACAAGAAAAGACACATAGACCAATAGAACAGAATAAAGAACCCAGAAATAAGGCCACATACCTGCAACTATCTTCAACAAACCTGACAAAAACAAGCAATGGGGAAAGGATTCCTTATTCAATAAATGATGTTGAGATAACTAGCTAGGCATATGCAGAAGAGTGAAACTGAACCCTTTCTCTATACCAAGTACAAAAATTAACTCAATATGGATAAAAGACTTAAATGTAAAACCCAAAAATATAAAAACTGGAGGACAACCTACGCAATACTATTCTGGACATAGGATCGGGCAAAGATTTTATGAGGAAGCCACGAAAAGCAATTGCAACAAAAGCAAAAATTGACAAATGGGATCTAATTAAACTAAAGAGCTTCTGCACAGCAAAGGAAACCGTCAACAGGGAGAGCAGATGACTTACAGAATGGGAGAAAACTTTTGCAAACTATGCATCTGACAAAAGTGTAATATCTAGCATCTATAAGGAACTTAAATTTACAGGAAAAACCCAACCCCATTAAAAAATGAGCAAAGGTTATGAGCAGACACTTTCCAAAAGAAGACATGCTTGCAGCCAACAAGCTCAACATCACTGATCAGTAGAGACATGTAAATCAAAATCACAATGAGATACCATCTTATGCCAGTCGGATAGCAATTACTAAAAAGTCAAAAAATAACAGATGCTGGTGAGGCTGCAGAGAAAAAGGGACGATTATATAGTGTTGGTGTGAGTGTAACTTCAGTCATTGTGAAAGTTCAGTCATTGTGAAAGACAGTATGGTGATTCTTCAGATACCTAGAGAAAGAAATACCATTTGACCCAGCAATCCCATTACTGGATATATACCCAATATAACATATCATTTTATTATAAAGACACATGCATGCGTACTTCATTGCAGCCCTATTTGCAATAGCAAAGACATGGAATCAACCTTGCCCATCAGTGGTAGACTAGATAAAGAAAATGTGTGATATATACACCACAGAATACTGTGTAGCCATAAAAAAGAACAGGATAATGTTCTTTGCAAAAACATGGATGGAGCTAGAGGCTACTATCCTTAGCAAACTGATGTAAGTTTGATGTAGAAACAGAAAACGAAAAACTGTATGTTCTCACTTGTAAGTAGAAGCTAAATGAGGAGAACACGTGCACACATAGAGGAGAACAACACATACTGGGGAAACAGAAAACCAAATGCTGTTATATTTTCACTTGTAAGTAGAAGCTAAATGATGAGAACACATGAACACAAAGAGGAGAACAACACACACTGGGGCCTATTGAAAGGTGGAGGGTGGGAGGTCAGAAAGGATCAGGAAGAATAACTGCTGGGTACGAGGCTTAATGCCTGGGTGATTAAATGATCTGTACAACAAACCCCTGTGACACAATTGTACCTATACAACAAACCTGCGCATGTACCCTTGAACTTAAAAGCTAAATTTA